TTTCATTTGTTGATACAATAGCTTTAGTTTATATTTGTCAAAGGGAATATCAAATCAAACAGATGAATTATAATTAGTCAACAGCCTATTTCGTGAATAATTATCTGAATGAAATGACTAGTGTCAAGTTTTTTTTTTTTACCAAAACATAGCTTAAAAATGAAAGGAAATGGTTTTTCTTGAATAGTCTGCCAACATCGCTGTTGGTTACTGTAATTACATTGATGTCTGTTTTTGTTTTAACAGTATTGACTTGTGGTGCTAACTCCGCATATAATCCATGCATGAGTGCTTGTCCCTTGACCTGCGCTACACAGGATCCAGCACCATTTTGCCCATACGCTTGTGTTGACGGATGTGAATGTGATCCAGGGTTCTACCAGGATGGTTTCAACTGTGTCCCTGTCGAAGAATGCGGATGCACCATTGATGGATATTACTATTCTGTAAGTCCAAAATCTTATCACATCAGCATACAGGTGACTCATGCATCAGCATACAGATGACTCATGGATCTGCTCTCTGTGAACTTATTGTTGGTGGAAGTCTGATAAGACCGGGGTGGCACCAGGATTTGCTCGACGGATGGTCCGATGTCTCCGACCTGAAAAAGTGAACATGGTCAACCATTTTTGAATTTAGAATTTTGACCGCTGCTCAAAATATTCTAAATGGTCTAGGGGCGATGACCCTGAAAATTTTTACAGTTAAAGGTTTCAAAGTTTCAAAGACTTTAATCGATATTTAATCGATTGTAGAGTCAACCTTATATGTAGAAAATACATATATAAAGAATTGTGGTTTTCCTCCCCAATGAGAAACATGTTCTATGTGCAGGGATACGTTAGTTTATATGGTCACATCATAACCATATATAGGCACATCATGACTATATATATGAATAGTGACTGTTATTTGATCTATTTTTGACAATATATTGTTTTCAGATTGGATCATCGTATGTGACCTCAAACTGTAATACGGAATGTGAATGCAAAGGCAACAACACGTTTGAATGCAGCAGTATATCGTGTGATACTTACGCTTATTGTGGAACTGATTCCGGTGACTATGGATGTCATTGTCTTGAGGGATTTGTAGGTGATGGCCACGAATGTACTCCATTAGGTATGAGCAGTTCAGTTGTTAAAACTAGACCTAAGTACCTTAATAGAACATCTATGATTTAGAAATGTTACTTTGATTTATGAATATTCATATATACGTACATATGTACACATACACAATGTTCATCTGTAGTAGCAGCAGTAATGTGGAAGTGGCAAGAGCCGCAATAACATTTTACCATTGAATTGTAATATATTTTTATATTATATAACAGTCTAGCATGTAATTATTTTTATTTAATATTTATTTAATAGCATGTCTACCTGAGCCGTGTGCATGGAATGCAACTTGTCTCTATCGACCTTCCTTTGACCTTGGTTTCTTCTGTGCTTGTGAAGACAGCAACACTATGGGACTTTATTGCAACGAATCTGCAAGTATGTTTCAATAAGTATTCAAGTAGTTTAATCTGATTTGCTTATAATTATTGTAGAGCTGTTTAATCAATAGTAAACCAAGCACAATTCGATGTAAACTTACTGCAAGCTTTCGTCTGTTATCACCAATGGAACGGATGCTAACTCACATAGCCTGACGAAGTCATGTTGATAAAATAGATGAAAGCATGTTGTAAGTTTACACCAATTTCTGCTTGGTTTATCGTTGATTAAACAGTTCTACAATTATGTTTCAATAGTTATGCGTTATTTTAAAAATTTATTTGAATATAAAAATACTTTAATTTTTTTTATGTTTATTACATTTATATGTAAATAAGCTTTAATGCATATTTAATTTTATATACTTATGAATTCTGTCTGCAGCTTACACTGAGGAGTTTACATGTTATGGATTGGAGTGTGCAAATGGTTATTTCACATCAGTCAACTATCCAGAATTTTATCTTGATAATTATGTTGGTTGGTATCGTGTGTTTGTGCCTAATGCCACCTCAATCACGTTCAGATTCAACTCGGACTTTGCGATAGAGCATACAAAAGACGCCCTCTATGTTGGTCCCGGTTTAATGTACACTGACTCGGTCATGGAACGTGCAGCAGTTGAAGCTGAAAGTTTGTATTTTTTGACTGGTTATGGTTATGAAGGGCCAATTATTATAGAGGGCGACACAGCTTGGATGTATTTCACTACTGACTTTAGTGTCCGGTACGAAGGATGGCATGCATCATTTGAAGCAGGTAATAAAACGGTGTTCCTTTCAAATCTTATGCAGAGCACTCTCTGTGTTCAATGCTACAATGCGCACACAACAGATCGTTTTTAATGACGATCCGTTCAGAGTGCCATCGACAATCAGCAGACGGCGTTGCGTCATTTAGCGCTCATAGGAAGCGGAGTTGGATTCAACGCGCAACGATTGTACGACTGTCGTACAATGCCTGGTTGCCTGGTTTTAAACATATCCTATTTAATTTCTTGTCGTTTTTTTTATGTAATATGCCTGCATGCCTAAATATATCGAAAATGAAGATGTATATTACAGTGCTTAGACAATGGTACTCTGGGTGGGACCTTCTATTATTTTGATAGGGGACGTGTTCTACACACTGCATTACAGTAAATGTTAAGTAAAGTATGAATGCTGGTTGAATATTATTATTTATTCAACTTTTGAAAGTGTAAGAGTATTTGTGGGGGCTCAGGAGTGAGGTGGGGGTTTGTGACTGTTAATTGGAAAATGAGTGATAGGTAATTGTTTAACCAGAACTATAATCGTCAGTTGTTTATTCAATGCAGTGTAAATCAGAAATTGTCTGTGATATACCTATTAGTATTAATAAGTAAATATATATGTATATAAATAAAATCTCTCTTAAAATCCTATTGGTAACAGGTAATATACGGTTAAGGCAATTTTGCCAGTTAACCGCTCTTTACGGAGCCGAATCCTTGTGACAGCGCCATATGGAGACATAAGAAAGGATATCAGATGGTATCAGAGTCCATGAAACCGTTTAAGACTTAAATTTGTATGGATACTTGGACCAATAATAATCAACTTTATTCTTAAATATGTTCAATGACTCAAACAATTACTTACTCTGAAGCATTCCTTGCATTTATCAATATTTGAATATTATAATATTTTGCATATTTTTTCACAGGTTTTGGAGAGTTTGACAATGACCAGTTCTGCTTTTATAATACGCAAACACGCATGAATGGGGAAGTATGGGACTTGGGAGTATGTGATACCTGTTCATGCACCAATGGAACAGTAATGTGTACAAATGTAAGTACATGTACAGGAGATGTTGTTGTCTTGATCCTGTAAATGAAAATTATATAAATGAATGAAATAGATATAAATAAGTCTTCTTCTAGATTTCAGTGGGTTATCCTTGGTGTTTACACCGAATAAATCCAATGCAATCATGAACCCATACACTTTATCAATAATCTAGTGTACTCTAAATTGTATATAATATATTATAATAATAAGTGGTGAATCCAGGAAATGGTGGAAGCAGCAATGGCTCCAGAAACTTCACGAGGCCCAGATTGTGCTTTTAGACCACAATATTAGGGATTGGCAATCAAAATAACGTTATTTAGATAGGCAAGTTTTTCTTTTGATGCAACGACCTTGTCGTGGTGTCTGACGACGGGGGTCCAGGCCTGTCCGGCTGGCGTAAATCCACTACTGCCCCCTCCCCCCACTGGTGCCACCACTGAGAGAAAGTGGCACTCACCCTCGCGCCATCAGCCAAAAAAATTCTAATTAATATAATAATATAT